AATAAAGAGGAAGTTTTATTTTGATCTAGAACATCAAAAAGAAAATCAAAACTGACTCCCGAAATAGCATGCTCGCTTAGTTCCATGCTGGTTGGCATGGCGCAGTAGGAAGTAGCCCCGTTGTCACACAGCAGGTCGAGGGTCTGATTCCTTGGGTGAGACAGCCCATTTCATCACTATTCGTTCATTCTTTCCGACGGTAAATAATACTGGCATATGCCAAAGAAACAAACCCTCCAACAGCTTGCCTTGTAAGCAATCCTCGAAAGAAGGAACTATCGAAAGCCAGCCATCTGCTGCCGCTCGAACTACTTCCCCTGCGCCTCCGTCTCAGAAGCACCACGAGAGAGGTAGGATTAATTCAGTTCTACAATCACCGATTCTGAATAACTCGTACAGGTGCCTTGATCTGTTTTGATGCCCAGTAAACAATTATTCTTTTATACCGTAATCGCATCACACTGGGTAAAATTACCTGTCTTGGGTCTTTTTGTATTCGTTGAATTACTTCACCGACAATCGCTTGTGAGAGTGCATTCAAATCTTGTATGAATGCTTCACTAAATCGTAGTTTTCGTGGTAAATATAAACGATTTGAAACCGACAAATTTTCAGCCATCGATTTTATCTGAAAATGTTCAAATAACTTTTCCCGATTTATAAGCATGTTGCAAAAGGAACAATGCGTTAACAACAAGGAAACGAAGCTGCTGGCTAAACCTTTCACCGTGACCAGCTGCCCTTCGATTTCATGTGATACGCAAATGTCTCGTCTCCTGATTCGAGTTCCTCCCTTCGTGATGTGATGTGATTAGAAATGTAGTGCTGATTGTTTTTCGATGCCAATTAATTGTGCGGAGGGTTTAACCCCTCCTTCTGCCCACCCTTTTCCTTCTTTACATTATTTGCAAAATTTAGAGAAAACTCGATGGATAAAACGCCCGTTATCGACTCGAGTTTGCAGGCTACCAAGATTGTTATGTATACATATTTTTTTTAGAAACCTTCAGTCAGTTCATTTGTGGAACTGTTCCTTAGCATCGAATATTCCCGTGGTACTGAATCTCATTAAAACAAAAAAAAAAAAAACTCATTAAAACGAACAATAAGCTCAAGAAAGAACCAGGAGTTCAGAAATGCCATTTCACGAGCAGCACCACTACTGATCACCCACTGAAGCGCCAATTCCTCGTGCATCACCTGGAAAAATACTCCCGCCAAATTGAAGTCAAAAAAGCAAATTAATAAAAAATAAGCCAAATGATTAATATAAAGATAAATTGCCTTCATCATTTAGTCTCTTCGATAGGAGGAAGCACTCGGGAGAATCCTAAGTGAAAGCAGTTGTCAAGAGTAACCAACAGCTGAAAAAAGCTGTCAAGGATCCCCTCTTCTAAAGGTTGTTCAGAAGTACGCAGGCAGCAATTTCCATTCCCTGATTGGCTCTAGTACTAACTTACTATCGAAACGAATGAACAAATCTTAGAGGAAATGGATTTCCACTGGAGGAATCGAACCTTCGATGTTTGCATCAATTGGAATCGAACCCAAACGGCCCCATTTGCTACTGCATCATGCCCGCTAACACAAAATTAATAAAATTCCAAATACTTAGTCCAGCATTTTTTTTTCGAAAACCAATAAAAACTTAAATTACACAACTTAAGAAAAGTAAGAGCCATTCGACGACCGAACGAAAAATGAACGGTCCAAGTGAGGCGCCCGACCTGGGTTAAATTGATAAAAATTCGACCGTTGATAAGTCGAATAAAACATTCTGAAGCAACGGCCAATGCAAGCCGTGGAAAGCACGGAACGGCCATAATCCCCTAATTCTAATGTGGGAGGTG